AAAAAAGACATAACATCACTACCAAAGGCTTTGTTTGGGTTCATGTTGTTAAGGACCCTCTTGGTTTCCCCCTCATCAACCTAAGCCGCTAGATTCGCATTGTAGGTCTGGCTGATGGGAAGTTATATGTAGTTGAGAAGGGATGGATCTATCAGAAGAAAACAGGTTGATGTAGAAATCTAAGACATCTCTTCTTCACTTTCACACGCAGTCTCATCATCATTCACTAGTCTCCCAATGGCATTGCATTTTCATTTTTGGAGGTTATAAGCATGGAAGAACCTTGTGTGTTTGTCCCCATCTTGAAGCCAATGTTTGGAAGCAAAAGGTTTCGTCTAGGTTATGGACATCATCCAATTGTTGTTTGAGTTTGTCCCAAAGCTCCTAGATTCTAGAACCTCCAAATGCTCTAAGATCTTCAATTTTCTTACTTTGTCTTTTAAATTTTAATAAAGTTCACGATTTTGAAATTTCTACTTCATTTAAGGAGTCACCCTAGTCTCTTTAATTTTCATGTTAACCTGAAACATGGGGGTTCCCGTGAGAGGACTACTCCAAAGTCAAGTTATTAATTCCTTGATGCCATCTTTGGAAACCCATCTCTTGTTGTCTACTCAAACCTCTAACTTCCCACACCACCGGTTTCATTTATCACGTTGGAGCAACTCTAAGTTAGCTTCCTCCACCTTTTCCTCCTAGATTTCAATTTCTTGCTACCTACTTCTTATGTTCATTCTTATGTATTACTATTTTGGCATTTTTCATGTTGCACCGTCCTCCAGATTTTTTATTCTTTTATTTTTATTTTTTTTTTAGTCCACTGATTGTTGTTAAACTGGAAAATTCAGCACCCGCTCATACGCATCAAATCCACACTTCAATCGGTTCGCTACCAGATCTCACACGTCTTCCGCGAGGGGAACCTACCTGTTGACCACCTAATGCCTCCAACCCATTGAGGCGCGCACCTTCCTCTTGGATGACACCCTTCTCCGTCTTCGTTCTCTTGTGGAGATTGACCAAATGGACTACCATTCATTTAGATTCTAGTAGTCATCTCGTATTTCTTTTCTTTTTTTCGGGCTTTGACTCACTTTGTAGTGCAGACTGCTTCCATGTGCACCTGTCAGCCCGTAGACCTATGATTTTTTGGCTCATTTAGAGTCTTGACTATATAGAAGTTGGGGATCCAACCTTAATTCCCCACCTAGGCCTTTTTTTAAAAAAAAATGATGCTATTTATGACTGAGTTGATACTATTAGTGGCCCTTTCTTTTCATTTTAGGCAGATGTTGCATGATACAAAAATTTCCTTGGCCTTATTAAATGAATTCTTAGTTGAAACAAGACACAAAAATTAGTTCAAAATGTATCCAAACTTTCAATTGAGCTACAAGCAAAAGGTTTTATATTGTTAGAACAGAGAAAACTTGTACCACACTTGAGCTCTAATAAACGACACTGCCTAAATGGTCCAGGAGTAACCGTGTCTACGACTTCTATTCAACCAAAAGGGGTTCTCTAGTATCAGCCAAAGTTCTTTATCCTTGTGAACCTATAAAATTCAAAAGACAGGCACATAAGAGAAAGGATGCAACAATAAAAACAGATAACTACAATAAGTACTGCTAAGGGGTAGTTTTACTAGAAGAGAAATGCACAGTGTTTATATAATTAGTCGGTAAACTTCAACAACATTTTCTATAAAAGTAAAACCTTCATAGAAACTAACACTTCGTTGAAGCCAAAACGACTAACATTCAGTTACTTTTCAAATCAAATATTCCTTATGTATTACACAGGCACGTCCATTATTTTAACATCTAATAAGTCAGTCCCTATATTCGTGGATACTAGGTTAGGTAGAAACAAACATAAGAGTAATGCAATTTTGAAACATAACAAGAATATTTTGTAATTAGATTGAACTTGAAGGGCATTTTATGATAGTCAGTTCATAACTCACCAATACACTCTCATCAGTGGCCAGTTTCTCCAGCAACCAAGAAGTCTCTTGTATCTAGTTCACAACTGAACCCCTTCAAGTAATTTGAGTGCATCAAAACAGAAGAAAAATGCCTGAACCAAATTGACCTGAGTTACCAATCAAACAGAGAGCATCGGGTGGATGAGTCATAAACTTAAAAATAGGTAGATTGTACTTAAACTGCAACTGTGATGAACCTAAAGTCAATATAATTTCTTGAGTAAATATTATTTCTTACACAGTTACTATTGAAACATCCTGGCATATGCTTTTCTCTCCTGGTCTCGTCTATCAGCAATCTAACAGAGAGAAAGAGAGTCAGAAATCAGCACACGTATACTGGATACATAACATTCATGAAATCAAATTCAATAGGCCTCACCTTTTTCTTCGCCGCTGCAAGTTCCTTTTTTATTGCACCTACAGCAAAAGCAATACAAAGTAAGTTACAAAGTTTCAGAAGGTTCATTGACATGTATACAATTACTTGCTGCCTCAATTTTAAGCTGCGATGCACCCATAACCAGAAGACATTCAATAAACATAAGGGCCTCCTAACATTTTTAAGCTATTAAGGACACAGTCAAAACACGACCATGTAAATGGCACAACATTTCCACCCTAGTTATTTCTATAAAAATACATGTAGAGAGAGATAGTGACTACAGAGTTAGAGAAAGAGAGATGTTACAACCATCATTTGGTTCCAATTCCAAAGCCTTCCTAAAACTCTCAACAGCTGCATCTATATCATTCAGAGCCACGTGTGCCTGGTCAATTAGAAGGTACAACCAAACAAGTGTCAGTAACAGGAAAAAAAAAATATGTTCAAATAGCTGAGGCCTGAGGTCCATGTTCGTTGACATATCAGAAAGTGCCATCTATACATAAGCATAAGCTAACAGAGAAAGAAATAAGGGATTAATAACCAAATAAATGAGAATGCCTATTAGATACTTATCACCAGGAACATTAGAGCATCTCCAATGGCACATTGCACATTTTGAGATGCACAACATTGGGAAAGGAAATCAAGAAATTGAGCGTCCTATGGTTAATGTTAATTGTAGTATAATTTGACATGTGTAAGCTTGTAATTGGTTGGAGAAGAGAAATAAATTGAATAAATAATACAATATATAATAGAAGATGTTTAGAAGTACTTCTTCACCTAGAAAGACTTCTAGAAATTTTTAATGCCACATAGGATTTGTTAGGTCATGTGCAATGAAATAGAGCAATCCATGGACCATTGGGCATGCTCTTAAATTAACATGCAGTACATGTACACGATGGACAACGACAGTCGTCCAGTTATCAAATTGAAGGTAAACACCATTTAGTTGCTTTAAAAAACTAACTCTTAGGTTCTAGCAAAAACAGGCATATAACCCCAAAGTAATAATGAAAAAGGGTCCATTTGTATACATAAAGGAAAACAACTGTACCAACGGAAAACCATAAAAGAAAACCCAACCTGGCCCTGACGGAATAATGCTTTTGCATTATTTTCGCCATCCCGCATTGCAAAGTCGGCATCCAGCAGGGCTCCTTTCAGGTCTCCTAGTTTCAGTTTACATGCCTAGAAGAAGAAAGATGGTGTAATGTAAGGCGAAATGAACCTTTATTGTGCTTCTTGAGAACAGAAAGCCAATCTTCAGAAGTATAAAATCAAAGAATCTCCACTCGTTCAGTCCAAGTATATCAACTAATTAAAATGTACTCAAATGCCAAAACAAAAATCTGAAAAGACTTGGAGTTCGGTTTAGTAGAATAGAGATCCATGCATATTATGATGTTCCTAAAAACAGAACCATTATTTCTAAAAATAATAAGCTTCAATGAAACTGAACTAGTAAATAAAAAGCACATCCTGAAAACTTAATAACATATACCAATAGTGTGTGTGTGTGTGTGTGAACATATGCGACAAATGAATTTGTAACTGAGTTATACCACTTCATTACATACGATAAGTGAACAAAAAAATATATTCCGTCTTAAGACGTTATGCATGAGAATAAATCATGTTTACTGGGTACACGTTATGCAATTGGTTTACTGGGTACACGTTATGCAATAACAAGGACTCAAAAAAAAATGCCACAGATATAGAAAGTACAAGGGCAAGAAAACAATGCAAAGCTCATTGAAATCAGGCATGTCATTAGCGTGCTTTCCCAATCATATCCTATCAAACCAAGGGAGAGAAGCAGAGTAAAGATGTGAAACAAATTACTAGTGTGACAGTGTCTCTGACACCAAAACTAGAACGATTATCCATTTGAATTTACCAATATTATCCTCCTAATTTAGTGCNAAAATCAGATATTCATCCGTCAGGGGATAGTAGAATATAAATATACATAAATGAAAACAAATTATAAGCATAAAGGAAGGAGAAATATGATATCCACCTTCATCAATGCCATCTTTCTCCCAGCAAGTATCCAAATAACGCAGGGCCTTCCGGTACTTCCGGAGCGCCATTTTAAGGTCTTGCTTCTGCAAAACGTCACATAAATCTCATTCATGTATACACGTTAAGATTTAAACCAAAAAAAAAAAATAGTAAAGGGGCGTTCTTTGGCACAACTATTACCTTAAAATGTTCGTTACCATATCCCTTTACAGACTCCACAGCTGTAATCCACCAAGAGAGCTCATCAGAATTCTCATTAAGGTCAGCCGGCCAGTCAGGATACAAATCACCATCCTTGAAAAAATTCGCAATCCCATCATCCGCACCGTCCGGAATCTCACCACAATCAGTAATCACAACATCCACTGTCGGCAGGTCGTTTTCGCCAGTGGCCACATGCTCGATAGAGCGAACGACTCCCATGCCTTTGACGACTCTCCCGAACACTACGTGCTTCCCATCAAGATGAGAAGTTCGTGTCGTGGTTATGAAAAATTGGGAGCCGTTGGTGTCGGGCCCTGCATTTGCCATGGACAGCATGCCCTTCCTCTCATGTTTCAGTTCAAAATTCTCATCCTCGAATTTCAATCCATATATAGACTCTCCTCCAGTACCATCACCCGCCGAAATATCACCACCTTGTATCATGAAGCTTTTAATAACACGGTGAAAACGGGAGCCCTAAAGTGATGGATAAAATGTACAGTAAGAAAACCGTCCAGAAAATAAGCAACAGAGGTAATCAGAATTTGTTTAGGAAAGCTGGAATAGCAATTAATGTAAAACAATCGTAAATGGTCAGTAGCTTAGCAATTTTCTAGCTTGACAAGTCCAAAAATTGAAACTTTCTCAATTAGGAGTTAACAGGAAACAACAGAATCAAGGAATAGTGCAGTTTAAAATATATAGGATTAACATTTGCGCGTTTGGCAGTAAAAACGGAAGAGAGAACAAATGAACCTTGTAATGGAGAGGGACGCCGGTGTTGGGGCCATCGCCTTTCTCTCCAGTACAAAGGGCCCTGAAATTCTCTGCGGTTCGTGGGACTACGTCGTTGTACAGTTCCACGACGATCCTTCCCTCGAGCTCATCGCCGATGCTAATGTCCAGAAAGCAGCGGGGTCTCACAGCCATAGTTGTCTTTTCCCTATTTCTCAGTTGAACTGGGTGCTCGTGCTGTGGAGGTATATACGGACAGAGAAGAAGGCTCGAGAAGAAGTAATAGAGTGAGAAAACCAGAAACCCTAATCAGTGTCTCTTTATTTCGAACTATGGAGCTCTTACTCTCATTTAATAGTATTCAAATGCGTAGGAAGAAGGCTCAAAGCGCTCTGTTAGAAATTTAAAGAATAACATGACTCATTATTTTTTTGTACAAATGATTTCAAGATAAATGCTTACATGCCCACGGTTGGCACATGTTAATATGCCCACCGCTGATGTAGCATGTACACATTGGCACTGTTCTAAAAATCGGCCTAAGCGGCCGCCTAAGCGCTAGTCGGTGCCCGGGCGCCTCCAATTTGTACAAATCGGCAGAAAAAATCGGTCAGGCGGCCCTAGGCGCTCCTAGGTGGGCTCGGCGGTAATTTTTTATTTTTTTTTATTTTTTTAAATACTACATTATTTTGTTCTCATGTTTTTTTTAATATATATTAATATTATTATTTGGACTTTGGTGTGTGAATTTATTATAAGTTGAGATAGTTTTATTTTGTAGGTAGTTAAAATAAATAAAAAATAAGGCATTTAATATTGATTTCTGGGCCCCGACTAGGCGCTCTAGATTGTAGAACACTGCACATTGGTGATGTTAATATGTTAAAAAAAATACATCACTAATGCGTGCATGCTACATAAGTCAGTGGGCATATTAACATGTGTCCATCGTAGGCATGTGAGCATTTCCCATGATTTCAATTAAAAAAAAATTCACAATTTTTTTTCTTTTTTTTTTCAAACGACAATTATATTAATAACTTAAAAATTCAAAAGAGTACACCCGAAGTGTCAGGTGACACACTGAAACCAGAAGACTGGACCAAACCCCCTTGTCAACACACACAATAGGGTACAAACTCCATCAAGGCGGCGAACAACCACAAAGCAAAACTCTAAAAAAGAGACTTAAACTCCATAAATGAGAGAAGAGCAGACACAATTGCACTAAACGAAACAAAACAACAAAATTAAAAACCAAAAGCAACTCACACCTAATAAACAAATAAAGAAGATAAGATCTCCCCTACACCTAACAAACTCAACGCTCGGCCATCCGAGACTGCACACGAGCCTCATCCACTAGCAAAGAGATCCAACAAAGCCACAAATCAGAAACTCGTGCCCAAAAACTGCGGCCACTGAAACAACCATAAAATACGTGAGATCTACATAAAAAAAATGATATTATTGATTTGATTCAGTATACCCTATATAATCAAATTAGTAATTGATTAGCAAATAATTAAAATATAATTGCCAAAAATCTCAAAATCAAATATTACATAATCACATTGCAAATTACCAATTGATTAATTTGTAATATATAATAAACAAATACGAAAAAAAAAAATATAATAGCATCACATTAATACAGAAAATGTGTGAATTACATATAGAAATCTTTGTCATTACAAAATATAATAATTGCATGATTGGAATGAGGGAATGACATGAAAACGGAATGTTCATTCCCTTACTCATTTCTTATGCCATGTTTGGTATATTTTTTGGAAAGGAATGACAACTCCAATGGAAATTGCAAAACTCATCCCAATGGGATTAGCCATTCCACACCAAATGCAAGGTTTTTCCCATTCTCATATGTGTAGGAATCAATTTCTTAAAAAATAAAATTATCAAATAATAATAATAAATAAATATATAATATATACTATAAACTATTATTAAATTATATAAAATAAAATAATTCCAAAAAATAATTTTCAAATAAAAAATTTAAAAACTTATTTTTATTTATTGTTCATATTTTAATTAGATATATTAAATACTTATACAACAACAACAACAACAACAACAACAACAACAAGCCGTTAAATTCTTAGTGGGGTCGGCTATATGGATCGCATGTCACCGACTCGCTTTCGTGCTCGATCAAAACACATCAACATTCAAATTTAAATATTTAAAATTATTTTTTATTATTTCCTTCCAATTTTCTTGTTCTACCCTCCCACTTTTGATTTACGTTCAATTCTAATGTTTTTAAGTCTTTCTTAAGCACATGCCCAAACCATCTTATATGAAAATAAAACTAAAAATCGTTTATAAATAATTTAAAAATATATTATTTTATTTTTATAAATCGTATATATTATAAATTTATCATAAACTGAATTATAATATAAAAAATTATATTCGACTACATATGCTTATAGGGGTTTATGTTATGCTATATTTGTATTAGCTAATATGTATATGAATACACAATTCACTAATTTGTTATATAATATATATGAGTGTAAAAATACAACAATATATTTATTAAAATATAGTATTTTCTTAAAAAAAATTAATTTTATTATTATAAGTAAAAAAAGTAACATTAATATAAATATTATTTTTTTTTACATAAAATAGTGATAAATTGGTTAATGTGATGCTATTATATTTTGAGCATCTGTCGGCGCTGACCTGTCATTCCAGATCATTGTGCAACTAGACAGGATGAACAGTGCATGAATAATATCACATTATGGCTATTATAAATAAAATTTTACCCTCATTTATTAAGGGTTGTTGTTCTCCTCACCAACTACTTTCTCTCTCTACATTTACTCCTCCCAATCTGTAATAAACTCTCGTGAATATTCCAAGTGTAGTCAAAGCACCGACCTTAATTTAAAGGTCGACCTCGTAATTAAGTAATAAAAGCCCATTTATTCTGTAAAATCATATCCTTTTACCTAGTTTATCATTCATAAATCACTTATTAATGGTTGACCGATTCTGATCATCAACAAAACCCAAATGAAAACGTTTTAATTATGGAGAACCGTATGAAGTCCCAAATTGAAGGCATAGGGGCTTATCATATTGTTTTAAATACCGGGCACCACATAGATCTTGTGCAAACTCTTTATGTACCTTCATTTTCTAGAAATTTAATTTCTCTTTCTAGACTCGATGTTCTTGAGTTTTCATTTAACTAGTTTTGATATGGAACCATGAGATGACACGACTTATGGAGTCATCCACACTTATTCGCAAAAAATTGTATTGACACGTGTCCTATAATAAATACACTTTGGACAGGTGTCAATACATTGAGTGGTGGATAGTTTCAAAAGAAAACCATCCGATGGATCCATAGAATTTTTGTCCATTTAAGTTTGGACATAGATGTTTCAGTTTAATTAATATACGTGATTCCATTATTGGTTCTAGAATTCTTATGGATGGTTTATATAAATTGAAACTTGATGTTGATTTTTCTACATCTTTGTTGTGTATTCATCAAAACATTGGAATTAAACATGGTGTAGCAGATGAGAACTCTCTTTTATTGTGACATAAACATTTGGGTCATGTCTCCAAAGAAAGAATGTAAAGGCTCGTGAAAGATAAAATTCTTTGGGATCCAGATTTTACCGATCTTGTGTGTGGATCGCATTAAGGGAAAGTAAACCAAACAAAACAAGAAAGGAGCCACAAGAAGGAGTCAGCCTATTGAAATTATATACACTGATATATGTGAACATTTTGATGCTCCATCATTCAATGGAGAAAAGTATTGTATTACCTTTATAGACGATTTTTCACATTATGAGTGTGTTTATCTTCTCAAGGAAAAATCTCAAGCTGCTAATGCACTTGAGGTTTTATTAATGAAGTTGAAAGACAGTTAGACAAAAAGTGAAAATAGTAAAGTCTGATAGCGGTGGTGAATACTATGGAAGGTATGATGAGTCGGGAAAAAAATCCCGATCCATTTGTTAAGTTCCTTGAAAAACATGGCATATGTGCATAGTATACTATGCCAGACACCTCAACAAAACAATGTAGTGGAAAAGCAAAATAAAACATTAATTGATATGATTAGGAGTATGATGAGTAATATATCATTACCTAAATCTTTGTGGATGTATGCATTAAGGTTGGCGTGTATTTGCTAAATGGATTTTTAGTAAGGCAGTTCCTAAAACTCCTTTTGTGTTATCGACTCGAAGAAAACCTAGTCTGAGAGACCTGGATGTTTGGGGTTGTCCAACAGAAGCACGACTATACAAGCCACATGAAAAGAAATTGAATTCTCGAATTGTGAGCGGTTACCTTATTGGTTACCCTGAGAAATACAAAGGGTATGTTTTATTGTCCTAATCATAGTTCTGGAATCATTAAAAAGGGTAATGCTAGAGTTATTGAAAATTGTGAAGTTAGAGGGAGTGCTGAAGAGACTGTGGAAATTAAAGAAATAAGGGTTGATGTTCCATTACCCATCAATGTTCCAATATCCACAATTGTTCCAAATACTGTTCTACAACCACAAGAAAAAAATAATTGTGGACAAAATTTGGATGAAATAGTACCTCATGGAGAGACTAACTTGCCGCCAATTAACATAAATGAACCACGTGGAATAACATTAAGTATAAGTACAGGGTTGAGAAAATGTGCTATTCCGGATGACTATGTAGTTTATTTGCAAGAGTTAGATTTTGATACTAGCATTGATAAAGATCTTGTTTCGTTTTCACAAGCCATTAATAGTGATGAGTCTTACACATGGATTGATGCTTTGAAAGAAAAGTTAAACTTTATGGCTAAAAACAATGTTTGGGATCTACTAGAATTGCTAAAAGGTTCAAAACGAGTTAGGTGTAAATGGGTCTTTAAGACCAAGCGCAACTCGAGTGGCTATATCGAACGACATAAAGCAAGATTTGTTGCCAAGTGTTATACGCAGAAAGATGACATTTATTATAAAGAGACTTTTTCACCCATTTCTAAGAAAGATTCTTAAGGATGATTATGACTTTAGTAGCTCAGTATGATTTAGAGTTACATCAAATGGATGTGAAAATGATCTTTCTTAATGGAGACTTGGAGGAGGAACTTTATGTAGATCAACCTGAAGGTTTTTCCTTAGAGGCAAGGGTCACATGGTGTGTAAATTCTAAGAAGTCAATATATGGACTTAAATAAGCTTTCAGACAATGGTATCTTAAGTTTAACAATACCATTACATCTTTTGATTTTCAAGCAAACACTATTGATCAATGTATTTACTGGAAGATCAGCAGGAGTAAGTTTATATTTTTGGTTTTATATGTTGACGATATCCTACTTGCTCCTAATGAATTGGAATTTCGCATGAGACTAAAGATCTTCTCTCAAAGAATTTTGAAATGAAAGATATGTGAGAGGCATCCTATGTGATTGGAATTTCAATATTCTGGGATAGATCACAAGGTTCGTTGGGGTTGTCTTACAAAGCTTATATCGAGAAATTTTTTTACAGATTTAGAATGAACAATTGTTCACCAAGTATTGTCCCATTAGAAAGGGGATAGGTTTAATCTCATGCAATGTTCAAAAGAATGATGTGGAACGTAAGAGTCTGAAATCTATTCCAGTATGATGTACTTGCAAACATGCACGAGCCTTGATATTAGCTTTGATGTTGGAATACTTGGTCGATATCAAAGTAATTCTGGATTGGATCACTGGAAAGCTTCAAACAAAGTGACGAGTTACCTTCAAGGAACGAAGGATCATGTGCTCATGTTTAGGATATCTGGTTGCCTTGAGGTGATTGGATATTCAGCTTCAAAGTTTGCTGAGTGCCTTGACAGTCACAATTCAATGTCTACCTATGTGTTTTTCTTTGCTGAAGGAGCAATTTCATGGAAAAGTTCCAAACAATCTGTCATAGTTGCATCTACTATGGGGGATAAATTTGTAGCTTGTTATAAGGCTACAATGCACGCATTATGGCTGCGAAACTTTATTTCGGGACTTGAGGTTGTCGACACCATTACCAAGCGCTGAAAATGCATTGTGATAATTTTGCAGCAGTTTTTCTTTTCCAAGAACAACAAATATTCCAAGGGTGCAAAACACATAGAATTAAAGTTTTTTCTGTTAAGGAGGAAGTTCAGAAACAAAGATTCTGCATCGAACATAATTAAACGGACTTTATGATTGCGAATCCGTTAACTAGAGGTCATCGACCAAAGACGTTTAAAGAACATGTACATAGAATGAGTCTTGGTTGTATTGATGATTGATTATGATGATGTTATGACACACACTTGCACTCATTGGTGTTATGTTTCTGACTTTTATCAAGTTTCTTGTTCATTGTGAATTGTATGCATTATATAGAACAAGAAATAAATGTCTTTAAGATAATTAAGTGAACATTATGATATTTATATATATATATGGAACTTTGGTGTGTTGAACTGGTAGTTCAATAGTATATGGAAAGAAGTATGCGAATCGAGAATGTCCAACCGACATAACTCTCACTATATTGTTTATCATGTCATAGTCTATTATGAGATATGTCATAATGAGATTTGTTTATGCACACCTAATGTTATACTGTTATATTAAGGGCTTTTGGGCTATGTGGGAGAATGTAAGAATATGTGACTCGAAAGCATTGAGCTCACAATTAATTATCCTATTGGGCTAGATCTTTATTTAATGGTCAAACAAATCTACGCCATTAATCTTGATATTTGATGGGCATACCAGATCTAAAGCCACTTCTATATACATTAGTCATCTCTCCTTCTATAAAGGTACGCAATATTTTCCTATCAGTTTTTTGCTACGTGAAGACGGTCAGGAGGGAGAAAGACGTTTAGACTGAAGAATTATAGATCCCCGTGTGTTCATTAGGAACACAAATTCTGCATCAAATAAGTATTTCGTATATACCAAATTATTTATTCAAGATCGTAATTTATGCGACCAGTTCTCTCACTTTAACAGGAAAAAAGACAAAATTGTTAGATAGACGTAGTGCAAACAATATATATATATATATATAAAGGAAAGAAGTAAAGAGATGGAATGGAAATTGATGCATAATTCGATCCATAAAATTAGAAATCGTAATCTTTGGTATAAAAAAGTAAAATCCATGAATAACCATAACAAAAAGTCTTGATCGCTTTAAATTCTCTAGCTAGTTGACAACACGGAGCAAGTTGGTTCAACGAATTAACCGCAAAAATAGCGCCCAAGCAGAGCCTCCAAGCACACACGAGACGATCTTATTTTAATTATGTGATGATCAATCAAGAAGTCCAATCTCAACAAATCCAGTTTTTATTTTTTTATTATTTTTTTTCAAGAATCCAAACAGACCCTTGATGTGGTTTCCATCTCATGTAAGGGCTTTACAATATCATGATGATGTGATGATACATACACCACAGACTTTCGCTCTTTAACTGGACTGGGCCTGGACGACCAGCGGTTTACCCCTGCCCATGGTGAAACCTCTTGTTCCATCGGGCATTCTTGGGCCCTTCATGGGCTGCTGGCCCAGGCAGAAGCCCATTAAATGTGACGATTGTATGGGCAGGCTGCGTGTGCCTTGAAGAGGACGCTGCTTGGTCTTGGCCCAATTTCTAGTCCAACTTTTCCTTGAGTTGTCGTCTGACTGCATCATACCAAACAAAGTTATTCCATCTCAATTAGCAAATTAATTGAACTTGTTGCAAGAGGAAAAGCAGTATTATAGCCAGAAATGTGAAACCGAATTAATAGTTAAAAAATGGTAGAAACAAATAAATATTTACCTCTGTTTCTGAGGTGTTATTCCGAGGGGCATCTTCGGGTGAATGATGGATCGACCCATTGTCGTCTATACAAGCATCGAAAATTTCCGGTTTTCGGCTCTTTGCCACAGTCTTAGGCTGCACATTACCATTTATTACGTCAAATATGTTGTTATAGTCGAATAAGAAAAGATCCGTGATTAATATTACATATATTTGTGAAATTAATGAGTGCTTAATTTCTTCACATACCGAACGCTTTAGCATTAGCCTCACTCGCATGCCCTTCCTCCAGTTACCTTCATCGTTCAACCTTTCAGCCTAACCAGTAACAAATTTATAAAACATGTCAACAAAATTACACATTTTTTTTTACATTTTCTTAAAAAAAAAAAAAAAACTTAAAATTTAAAGGATTAAAAGGTGAAAACACACTGCTTTCTCAGCTGTTTCAGCATTCTCATACTCTACCAATGCATGGAGCTACAATAGAACACACATGTAACGCGTGAATCATAGTATAATGGAATAATAATAAAAATAAATAGGTTTTGAAATGATGGTGCTACAAATTGTGGTACCTTATGACTGACAACTACATCTGTCTTATTAGACCGCGAAGCATTGTGTTCCTGTGGCTGGCATATTCTGATAGACTTGATGCTGAATAAAATGTAAAAACAAATGTATAATACATTAACTTGTGGAGGGTTATTACGAATTGTGACATGCCATAAAATTGAAATTTTAAATAACAAT